TTGATTGACCATTTCAAGAAGACGTATGGCCTGAAGGACGAAGTTACCATGAGATGTGTCATTGAGGACTTGGTCCTGAAGCTCATTGCCGAGGGACCATCGTCCCAACTTTCTAGGAGTCGGACTTCTACACCTTCACATAGTCCTTCTATCACAGCTCCTATCCAGGATAAGGTGAAAGCATATATACAGGATGACATAGATGGTATGGGTCTGGGAGATCACGTGCAGAACATAGAGGCAGACGTACCTTTACACAGTGGTTCACCCGCACATGCAGTAGATTTGGCAATGACGAGCACCATAAGATTAGACGCGCCTGCATTTATCCCAACACATAGAAAGTCTATTCCACCTAGGCTGGAACCTTTTCCGGACGGGATCTTTCTCTAGTGTGTGAGCCCGATTATGAAGACTGCTACGATCCAAAAATGTATCAATCTAGACGCATGACCTGGTCAATGACTTTGTCTTACTACTCGAAGATTTATCCACGAGAGTACCCTTAAATAGTCTTCTCTTAGTCAATGTACACATTTCATTTACTGTTGCTTTCATTAATTCATTTAGTTTTGAGACATTTGTTGCATTTTTCATTAACTGGAGGTCAAGTATATGCCTCCCTCCTTTTATGTGTTTTTTATTTTTATTTTTATGATATACACTAAGCCACACTAGTGGCCTTTGCTTTAAAAATAAAATAAAAGAATCATTTATGCAAAATCGACACCTCAAGGCAATGCCGTTCCCACCCCCATTGGCCAATACCAGACAAATAATTAGCTTTCTGTGCATCTACATGGACACACTAATGAAATTTGAAATTTCCGGGAATCCCAAATGTTCCTACTCATAAGCATTGCTGCTATAGATATCACATGGCTAGCTTCCAAGATGACCGTCTCTTGTTACCAAATAATTACTATATCTTTCCATCCCAAGGTTCATCATCAAATAGGTAAACAACGATTAGCTTCATTAAGAACACAGTTGTGAAATGAATAAATAAATAAAAAGACCAAGTACTCAAAACATGCCTGATTTCAGTGGTGGCATCATCATATACGATACGAGGTGGAGCCAAATAGCCAGGTTGGTAAGGCTGTACAACGGGGAAAATAATTTGCACAAATTAGCATATGATATAAATGTAAAACTCATTACACCTATATTTTATACAACCCTAGCATATAGTTAGATATCAGTTCTCAAGATTGCATTGTTCAACCACAGAAATATGAATCTTAATCACTATATTTACCCTCACTCCTGCTGGAAATAGAATCCATAACAAGAAGTGTGGGAAAACTAAAAAGGATAATTAAGCTCATGATTTTCATTTTTCAAGTCTCGTCTGCAAAAGTAATTGGAAGTTCTAAATCTGAACAAGAATTGTACGAGGCAATTAAACATTGAAGCATCAGAACTCAAAAAGCAGAAAAATTCTTGCAATAAATAAACAAACAAATCAGCATCAACAGTCAACACACCTGATGGCAGGTCTTGCACGTTACATCTCCTTTCTCATTGCACCATCGCTGAACACATTTCCTATGAGCACAGTGGATTTTATAAAGGAACAAGAAGAGAAACAATAGAAAGTAAGTTTCTCGTAGTAAAATCAACAAAAAAAACTAACATGTATGGACAGGCCACAATAATTGAGTCTTGAAGACCACAAGCAACAAAGGGGCTGTTAGACAAAGCTTTTGATAAATGTTTCAGCAAATTTTGATAAATGTTGATGAGATGTGTTGAAAAGTCATAAAAGTTACAAATCTCATAAAATGTGTGGTTGAAATTGCAGTTGACCCGTTGTAAAGTTGATAAATTTTAGCAAAGTTTTACCAAACAAGCACAAATTCATCTTACGTATAGATGTTACATAAGACTGCTTGGTATCATCATCAGCATAAAGACAGCACAATATACAAATATATATGTATGGACTAAATAAGTGCAAGCAGATAGTAAAATTGCTGAATCAGGTAAATCTTTAAAAGTAAACCAAAAAAGCAACTGAGCACACAAAGATACCTTTAGACTGCCACTACAAGCACAAGGAATCCCGAAGTTTTTAACACTATCTTCTTCCAAGGAAATTCAACATTCCACTGCCTGAATCAAACAGTCCTCTTCACCAGCTACTATCAATCTTCATCCTCCTGAATATCAATTACTTTGATAACTGAATCAATATTTTGAGAGTGAGAACATTCCCCAGGAGCATCAGCCCCTTGAACTGATTGCAATGATGCGTGCAGGTGATCAACCAAGTGCTCTCCCATTGCATACCTACCAAAATTATGTTACTTCTAACAAGACTTAAAGAATGATCTAAAAAAGCTGCTTAAAAAGAATGAACTCTCTTTTCCCCATCGTTTTTCAAGTAATGAAATTGAGACCATTTTATAGAAACGTGAATAAATTATGTGTCTTACGTTCAAAGTAAAATTACATCCAGTAAAACACTATCACTTGGCCCAAACCATCAATTTTCCAGAACATTATTGCAAACATTTGAAATGGTTACAAAAATTTTATATATACATTTGGGATTTTGATTCCTTATGCTTTTACATAACCATACTATAGATTAATTTTTTTTAGATAAAAACTTCAAATCTTTTAAAACAATAATGCTGTTGTTACTTACTAAACACAATTAAAAAGGAAAAAAAATTTCTCCTTCAGTTTCTCAGTTACCAAATGTAGTTAAAAGGACAAAGACCAGAAATTTCCATTCAAAAATTCTAAAAATCTAAACCCATGTTCAGAAGCTCCACAAACAATGGGATCAGTATATACATATACAGGGGAAAATAGAGCAAAGAAACCAGAACCTATAAAATTTGGGCAATCGCTTATGACTAAATCTCAATAACAATTGTACTGAAAGCTAAAAAGAAAAACAGAACTGATAGAACAAATATGAGTGTACGGGTAACTGCATTTAAATTATGTGTGCTGATGCAACCAAAAATCGCATAAAGACAAAGCTTGAGCCTAGATACAACTTGAGCCGTGACACAAATAGTATGTACTGGTCATGTCCTTCTATACTTACTCAGCGAAAAAGGAAAATATATTCACATCTAAACTATATTAATGTCAATAAACTTGGGTTTTGAATTAATAGAATTTAAGCGGTGCAATCTTTGATAGAATTAGGCCACCTGAGTGCCATATCTGCTCAAAGAGTCCAAGAGGACGTTAAAAGTCTTGCAATGAGCAAATATTAGAGATTCAATGAAATTGTTGGACTATAGTTATAAAATAACATGAGGACGGTAGTAGGTGAGTAGAAAATCTTAGAGATATCGTTAGTAAGCCGAAATTGTTTAAAGACGTGGAGGGCACAAGCCCAATGTCATAATAAATGTACATACTCATCAAGGGAGACACATTGGGGGATAATGACGTTGTGGAGTGAGTTGTGAATCAATGTCAACGTGGTCGCAATTGTACTTGTATTGTACTCGTCATGTGCTTTTTTTTCCTAATCGTTCATTGTATCTCTTTGTTTCTGCTTGGAAGTATTCCTTCTTTTGATTATTTTTGGTATTTATATAGAATAATTATTGGTGTACATAGAAATTGGTACATAAGGTGTCCTCACCCTCACATGATCACACCATGTGAGGGTGTGGACATACCAAAAATTATATATACCAAGAATTATTCTTTATATAAGAGTGTTAAGTGGGGCCGTTGTGAGCCGCACTTCGATTGATCTTTTTGAAGGTTTAGGGTCTATTCTCTACATGTTTCAGTTTTGAGTTTTGAAATCATTTTGAGTTTTGTGTTTTGAGTGTCCTTTTTAAAATTATTGAAGTCTGTTTTTTGTCTTTTTGAAAAATTATTTTCAAAAACTCAAAATTGGAAAATGTGCTCTCTTTCTTCCCTCTCTCTTCTTCTTGTCTCTCTCTCTTCTTCCCCCTCCTCACGACACCTCGCAAGGCCNTCAAAGGGTTGTACCTAGAAAAATGGAGGAAAATATTTTCCGTGGAAAATTTCGCATATCAAACAGTCAAAAAAGTGAAAGTAGGAAAATATTTTCCTACTTCCCTGGAAAACTCCGCCAATCAAACGGAGCCTAAGAGTGTTAAGTGGGGCCGTTGTGAGCTGCACTTCGTTTGATCTTTTTGAAGGTTTAGGGTCTATTCTCTACATGTTCATTTTGAGTTTTGTGTTTTTGAGTGTCCTTTTTAAAATTATTGAAAGTCTGTTTTTTGTCTTTTTGAAAAATTATTTTCAAAAACTCAAAATTGGAAAATGTGCTCTCTTTCTTCCAGTCTCTCTCTTTCTTCCCTCTCTCTTCTACTTGTCTCTCTCCCTTCTTCCCCCTCCTCATGACACCTCGCAAGGCCTCCGGCACTGAAGACCAGCCACTTCTGTTGTTGGGTGTGGCAGCGTTGGTTGGATGTGGTGGCGGCGGTTTTTTTTTTTTATGCGGTAGTTGATTGTGGCTGTGGTTGTAGGTCGTGATGTCGGCGACGGCGCTGTGGTGCAGGCGACAATAGTGGTGATTTTTGTTGGTGGGGTAAATGAAAACATCCAAAACACGTTTTGAAAATTTTGGCTTGATTTTAACTGAAAATGCCCAAAATGAAATTTTTGACGTTTTCGATTTTCTTTGTAAATTTTAAACTCGTTTTCAGAAATTCGTTTTTGAAAATAAGTAAATAAACGTGTTTTCACTATTTTAAAATAGAAATGATCTAACGATGAGTTGGCACATTAATTCATTGGTGGATTGGAATTCATAAAATTTTTATCCACCAATGAATTAATGTGCCAACTCATCGGTGTTTGAGATAAGATGAGCACCAGTGCTCATTAGATAATTTCTGATTTTAAAAAATAGAAAACTGAAAACAAGACGAAAAGGGCAAAGAGAACAGCCCGTCAGTAACCGAGATGAAATTTACCCTAAAAAGAAAAGAAAACTGTGACGAAAAAAGGGTTTGGAAAACTAGGGTTTATCGAGTAACTCAGTCATGGCAGGCGAAGAAGCTTCAGAAACCCTCGAGCAAGATATGGAACCCGAACCCCAAGCAGCTGAAGAGGAGCCAGCTGATCCGACGCCTGCCACGTCTGAAAACAGCGGTGGCTTGAAGCGCGTTGGTGGTGTGGGCTTGGGCTTGGGCTTTGGGTAATTGCTCCTAATAATCCCTAACAGCTGTGGCGGTGGTTGTAGGTCGTGATGTCGACGGCGACGCTGGGTTGCAAGCGACGATAGTGGTTATTTTTGTCGGTGGGGTAAATGAAAACATCCAAAACACGTTTTGAAAATTTTGGCTTGGTTTTAACTGAAAAAGTCCAAAATGAAATTTTTGACGTTTTAGCCTTTTTCTGTAAATTTTAAACTCGTTTTCAAAAATTTATTTTAGAAAATAGGTTAGTAAACGAGTTTTCATTATTTTGAAAAAGTGAGAACAAGGCAAAAAAGGACAAAGAGAACAGCCCGTCGGTAACCGAGATGAAACTTACCCTAAAAAGAAAAGAAAACTCACGAAAAAAGAAAGGGTTTGGAAAACTAGGGTTTATCGAGTAACTCAGTCATGGCCGGCGAACAAGCTTCAGAAACCCTCGAGCAAGATATGGAACCCGAACCCCAAGCAGCTGAAGAGGAGCCAGCTGATCCGACGCCTGCCACGTCCGAAAACAGCGGTGGCTTGAAGCGCGCTAAGGAAGAAGAAAAGGAGGAGGAGAATGTAGAGAAGAAATTGAAGGTTGACGAGAAGTTCGTTGAAGAACAAAGGCTTGAGAAACCGGATGATAATAATGCGGAAACCGAGGAGTTGGGTCCGGTCAGTTTGGGTCCAAAGGTATTTGAATCGTCCCAGGAGATGTTTGATTACTTTTTCAAGCTTCTGCATAACTGGCCTCCGAGTATCAATGTGAATAAGGTAAATTAATGTCTGAGCTCCTATATTTTACTTTTAGGATTAATTATTGATCAAACCAAGAGAGTTTTTTTTTTTCTTTTAACTATTTCATACTGCATCTTTCTATTTGATGGAAGTGTTGCTTATGCTTTAAAAAAAGTTCAAAATTTTTAGTTATATATGATTGGTAGTCTTGGTTTGAGTGGGTTCTGCTTATGCTAAAAGCGACCAAATCTTTGTATTGGAAGTAAGTGGATCAGGCTTCGGTCTTGTCATATTCTCATTGTATGTCAGATCATTAAATGCATATGCAGGAAAGGAATATTGTGTTTGAATTGTTGGAGTGATAGTATATGTAAATGGTTGTTTAAGACAAGAAAATTAGTCAAGTTTAATTCGCCGGAACGTATTAAGTGAGCAACGAGGTAGGTGAAAACACTTTCTCCTTAAAACAATATTGTCCCGCAATGATGCGACGGTATACGGCACTTGTCTTCCAATATATAACAGATACAACTTGTGATAGAAGCACTTCAAACCACAAGTAACATTGAACTTAAAACGAAATTTTTTCTCTATACGAAAATAGTTTTAGAATGACTTTTGGAGAGTATTTTGTAAGAGTTTTTTGATGTAATGCTTAATACAAATGATATATATGCATAATGGACGTCCAAATGGTCCTATATATAGAAGAGGAAGGGTTGTGGGTGAAGTGTCAGTCCCAAACTCAACAACCTTTGCCAAAGGTCGCAGCATTTGCTGTTGCTAGCCTCTCGCTCCAATGACAATGACACTTGTTCATCAGTACATCTCTCGCTCGCCTGTTGCTAGACTTTCGCTTGAGCGATGGAGTTTAACCATTTTTCTAGCCCGTATATCCTCTTTTCTATCCAACTTTAGACTGCAATTTCTCATTTATCCGGAATTGGTTTTGAGATTTCAAATATATCACGACGATCTACTTAACTAGGAGACAAGTTAGTCTATTTATATTCATAATTTGACTATCGGATCAAGTCCGAATATTTGGTCAAAGTTGATACAAAAGTCACTTTCCATAATTTTATTTTCATTCTCTAAACCAATTCCAACATGAATTAGTGAAAAGTTTGGGGATGATGGGATGATATATTGGGTGGGAACACTTTAGGGTTGTTGAAAATGAGCAAATGGGTTGGCATTCACTGGGCCCCATATCCAACCATCCAAAGGACTCAGATATCTAATTGGAAAGGCAGAAAATATTTTTATTGCAACATTGAAATTAATATCCTGAAGAGGGGTGATGTTTCCTGCAGAAATGTTATTACGCACCGTGTTTACTCCAACAGAAGTGAGGAAGTTTGGAGGTGTGTGTGTGTGTGTGTTATTTCTGTTGTCTAAATTCATTGGTATACCTGCATTTTGGGTTTGACACAGACAAGGGCATGATAGTTTGGATTGATAATGAAATTAAGCTGCATATCAAAGCTTTCTACTTGTTTGGCATCTAAATCATGAAGTTGAATGCCATTTTGCCATAAAAAATATAAGGTTTAAATTATAATGTTCTGCTGTCTCCTCAAATCTTCATGTTTGGGAAGTGTTTATTAACGTTTTAAGTTATAAATAAATAGAAATGAGTAGTGGATAAGTGGGTACTACTTGTAGGTCCCTCGAAAATGTGTGATAAAGTGGCTTGAGTGTTTATAAACATGAGCCAAACATAGGCTCACATTCAAAAATTTTATGAATTTACATTAGAAGTCAACATCATACATGCACGAGATGGCTTTATCTGAGTTATAGGTGTTTGTTGGAGTTGTCTTAGTTGTAGAACATCAAAAGTGCTTTGGTTCTTTCACTAGACAATATAGGTGAAAATATAAAGAAGGCCACCTCAGTAATAAATCATTTTGATTGTACCAAGGTCAAGTATTCTTGTTCTGATCATTTCCTGAATTATCTTTGCATGAACAATTTGTTGTCCTGTTGAACTATTGGTCCAAAATTCCTTCCACGCGGGGATTTGGGAGTTTGAAATAAAGCTATTTTTTCATGGTAGCTCTTTCATTTAATGGTGTTAACTTGAGTTTGGATTTTGTTGGCCGTCTCTGGTTGGATAATGGTGAACATTGTATTGCGGGCATAGAGTTCCTTTTTGCAGCAGCAGCTACTATGGGGACTCAATGAGATGATGTTTTGCAATTAACCTGGAATACAGGAGTTACAACTGTGATTTGCATATACTTTCGACGCAAGCTTCCAGGAATGTGGCTTGATCTGCTTATCTTTTACTTGCTCTATATTGCAGTATGAGCACATTGTGTTACTGGAGTTGCTCAAGAAAGGTCATTTGGAGCCTGAGAAAAAGATTGGCAACGGGATTAAAGCTTTCCAAGTTCGATTCCATCCTCAGTTTAGAAGTCGTTGCTTCTTCCTTAAAAGGGATGATGAATCAGTCGATGATTTCAGCTTCAGAAAGTGTGTGGATCACATACTTCCCCTGCCAGAAAACATGCAAACGAAAGACGGTGTCAATAAGGCATTGTCTGGGGGTGGAAGAGGTGGTCGTGGCCGTGGCCATGGACGTGGTCGAGGCCGTGGCAGAGGATGGTGAAAAAATTGAGGCAACAGTCTCATTTTTGTTTGCAATGGACTTGTTAAGAGCGTGTTTGGGAGCAATTTTTGTGGGATTTTAATCAAAATTATAGCCGTTATAATCAACTTGTGGGCCCCACTTGTGAGAGAGAAAGTCAAAAATGGTGACTGATTTGATAGTTAACGGCTAGAATTTTGATTAAAATCTTGATTAAAATTTCTCTCAAACAGGGCCTAAATATTAAAAATATCAAGTATGGGTAGAAAGAAACATCGTCTGATATTTTTTATACATCATGTTGCAAAACTGCTAAGCTATACGAAATATGATTCCCATTGCTGTTTGTTTGCTAAATTGTGTTTCGGGATTAAATTATGCTATTTTCTTTCGCTTTTGTACGGCTTCCTTTTGCCAGGCACACAACATTCATCAACGTGTTGCTTTCCTGGGAAAAAGTTTAAAGCAACCGCACTGAATATTAAAGGTTTAAAACGGAGAAATACGCTGTGATTTGGTAATATATGTTTTCAATGTGCTCCTCTAAGATTCATTTTTTTTAATTAAAGGTCAGTAACTGTAAGGTAGACAAATGCTGTAAATCTTGCGGAATGCAAATTTCTTACATTACGTTTATGTGCTCGTATGCTTTGTTTAGATATCCGCCAAACATTATGGTTTTAACAATGAGTTCATGGCCAAACCATTTGATTCATGATCTAACATTATTAAACAGATTGCCAAATGCTCTTTCCATCTAATGAGTTTTATGTAGATAATTGTAATTTCTCGTGGTGATATATTGGTCGAGAATGCATAGAGATCATTCCAAGCAATGTTGTTAAGCAGTACATAACTCACATGACAGCAAAATTCTATTACACCAGTTACTCATTTCTCTCCGATGAAAATCACTTCAATAAACAATAAGAGGGGGTTTGGTGCAGGGATGGAACACATTTCATGTCGTCTACAAAACTGGATTGCATCAGCAAATCCGGAAAAAGCTGAAACACCTTATTTCTTCTCGATGATTGAAAATGTAGTAAAACTCTAAGCAGCCACAGGTTGCTTCTGAATGAAAGAAATACCTTTCTCAATGCTGGCATTCAGCTCAGGCTTGAGTGCTTCTAAAGCATTCTGTTCATACTCAGTTAAACCTTGGAGGTCCGATGAAATCAATGCCTCGACCCCATTCCGTCCAAGCTTAACCCTTGAAGCAAAGAATGGGAGGTCAGTCAAGTCAGACTGGACAAAGGTGCACTCATAAACATCACTATCCCCATCAAGTGCACGGAGTGAGGACTCAACAAATCGTGCTGCAGCATATGCCATAGAAAGAGTGGCGGATCCTGCACCAGCCTTTGCCTCAACAACTTCTGTCCCAGCATTTTGAATCCTGACAGTTAGCTCATGAACTTCTTCATCGGTGAAAGTAACCGATGGTTTTGTCTTTGACAGCAAAGGCAAAATAGTAATCCCAGCATGACCTCCAATGACTGGGACATCAACATCAATGAGCTTTAGGTTTTTCTTCTGAGCAACAAATGTATTTGCCCTGACAACATCAAGGGTGGTAACTCCAAAGAGTTTCTTTGGATCATATACCCCCTTTTGCTTCAAGACTTCTGCAGCAATTGGCAAGGTGGAGTTAACAGGATTGCTAATAATGTGGATGAAAGCATCAGGGCAGTTATCAGCAACAGCCTCAACTAAGGTCTTCACTATATTAGCATTAATGTTAAATAGGTCATCACGGGTCATTCCCGGCTTCCTTGGAACACCAGCAGGTATGACAACAACATTTACACCCTTTAGACAAGCAGCCAATTCAGATGCTCCAGTGAAGTCCAATACCTGCGAGGGTGTGTTGCAGTGACTAAGGTCCGCTGCAACTCCCTTCACATTTGCTATATCGTAGAGGTGCAGCGCAGAAACCAATGGTGACATTTTGATCAGAAGTGTTAGCGGCTGGCCTATACCACCAGCAGCTCCAAGGACAGCTACTTTATAAGATGCCTGAGGCTGAACATGACTGTAAGATCTCATGTTATCTTTTCGGGCTTTACCAATGTAACAGCTCTTGAGAGCTGCACTGCTTTCACTGCCTAAGAACGATGACTTTGATTGACAGCTCACAGAGTTAGCAGTCTTGAGGCCATTGGATCTCCGCAAGTAATTTGTAGAATTGAATCTGATACCAAAGGCCTTTGACTGTGAAATTGGGCCTAGTTTGGAGCCGGCAGATACAGCAGATCCAATTGAAAAGTTGGTAGTTGATGTTGCTGCCATCTTACAACCTGCAAAAGTAAATACAGATATAATTTAAAACCATCACTTTATCAGTGCACTGTAGAATAAGACTTCAATATCGACAAACTAAGGCCAAATCAAAGCATATAAACTGTAACTAAGATTAGTTCTAGAAGCAAGTCAAAACAACACTCTAACAAATAGCTAACCGAATTAATGGTTTCTACGACCAACTTTATAGCTCAAGTGAAATAGAAAAATAGGCAAATCTTGTTTGACAATCTATATCTATATACAAGTAAAGTACAAGTTTAGAGAATGAAACATCAGGATTTAATTCACAAATAACAATCTCAAAAAGATAAATGACTCTATTAAGCTAAGGATACAAGGCTAAGTTTAATATCAGCACCATAATCTTTCCAGCAGTCCAAAGTTTACTGAAACGGGAGGAGAAGATAATGTTTGCAACAAATGAGAGTTTTGGATGAAGCAGAGTTGTTAACAACAGACCAAAGGCAGGATTCACAATGAAATAACCAAAAGACAGAAGACCAGGGACAGAAAGAAAATACCCAATTTTTCATGTAAAAAAAGATCATCAAGTGAGCACAAACCTTAATAGAACATATGATCAAGTAAAGAAGATAGCCAGGAATTGTACTTGTATAGAATCTATGTTTGTAGCTACTTCAATCAAAACAAATGTGGATTTTGATATATGAATGACTGTAAAATATGATACGTTAAAAGTTTAGTCACCATCAAATAGTCATCATATCTGACTTCACATTGCATTTTTGTAGTTCTCCCCTTGAAAAAAAAAAAAACTGATCGGCTAACAATTACTAACATCAAATAAAATTAAATTGTAAGAAATTGTAATCTGATACATGTTGATGTTACACAAAATGGCAAATAGCCGAGCTGAGTCGTAACTCAACCATCTCATCAGCTCGAAAAGATATGAAGTTTATATGCAAACGTGGTTATCTAAAATATCGTGCGTGTTTTTGTAGTTGAACTCGGTACCAAACCAGCTCGGTCATAATTAGTGGCCAGAGGAAAAACTCAAAATGTAAAACTGTTAGGTGCCATAACATGGAATAACAACAAAATTGACATGTGAACATTTTTTTTTTTTTGAAACACGTGTAAACACATTATACTACTGTAGCCACAGTTTACCAATCAAGTAACTTTAAAAAGTGCAAATCATTTCTCATTCAATGCCGATCACAGTGAGTAGCCTTGGGACTTATAACCCAGCATTTTGACATATACTAACTTGCACTATGAAAAAGAAGATACTTGCCTTTAGTACAGTAGCAATCTGAACAAGTTTTGCTAACGACAGTACATGTAAATTAACCAAGCAAATCAAATTTATATTTCAAGCTTCAAATGTTATAAGAAATTTTAGATTCTTAGCAACATCGGTCCTTTAAAGGCTCATTGATCATGAAATATTTTATGTTGCTATTTATCACATTTTAGGTATCACAAAAAGTGCAGAGTTCATTGTATCATTTTCAGGAAATATCTTATCATTTAAGGAAATTTCACAATAAAATTTACTTAAACAGAAATAACTAAAATAGAATTCTAATTCACAAATTGCGTTGTCAGGGTGCATCACAAAAGATGTATCACAAACAGTGCAGAAATCCTCATATCATTTTCACGAAACATCTTATCATTCAAATGAAGTTTACATTAAAATTTATTCAAACTCAAACACAAATAACTCCAATGGAATGCTAATGCACAAATTATGTTATCACCCATGATAAAACCCACGCGAACTCTGGCGCCTGGTAATCAGGGGCCAAATCTATGCACTGGTTCAGGCGAAAGTATCTTAGCATTTCTCTTAATTAACTTCAATCCAAAATAGCTAAACAAATAATAAACGTTAAAATGCTTTAGATTCCCATTTTAGCTAAAACTAAAAATTAAATAAGAAATAGATTGAAAAAAAAAAAAATCCCACAAAATTCATGTTTGAATCAGGGGTAACTAAACACATACGAATTCACACATATAAAACAAACATCCAGATCTAAAAAGTAATGAGGTAGAATAGGATAATAAGAATCAGAAACTCAAAATCAGATGGATTTGAACTCACAATTCTCGTTCCTTGCTTTCTGAGCGTAGAAATGAAGAGTTAGATTGTAAGAGATATTTTTCAGGTAAGGGTTGTGGCCCTTGTGGGGATTAAAAAGGCGCCTTTTACACACAGGTACACGCTGGGGTGTGTGTATTTGTTGAGCGTGGAGTTGGTTTAGCTTATGTTTCTCCGCCACATGTCCTCGACCAAATCTACACTTAAAATACCGACGCAATGTGACGGTGTGTTGAAAGCTATTACATACAATTAAACCTATTATAATTAATAACTGATAAACTTATAAATTATTTCTTATCCTCTAAAATATTTTATATTAGAGAAATGCTATTCATCCTCACTCTATGTGGCGTTAATGTGATATTAAATGATAGGTGAAATTAAATAAGTCATTTAATTTCACCTATTATTTAACCAATCATTTACATCCACATAGTTGGAAATGCATCCCTACTGGGAATGAATAGCATTTTTCTTTATATTATATCCCTGTTTCGTAAAAATTATAAGCAAAATTAAAATTAAAATTAAAATTAAAATTAAATAATTAATTTTATTCACATTTTTTTATGAGATTCACAACTTTACAATCATATATTTTATCAACTTTTATCAAATTTTTTTAATCTCTACCAAACGAGATATATATAGTCAACGCTATTAATTTATTAATATTTACAGTATATACACGCATGTATAAATACAATTTTTTTTTTTTTAATAATATTTTTTATATGACGTAAATCTTTTTAAAAAGATTATTTCGATTGGGACAACGTTGATTTGAAGCTCAAATATTCGAATCTCTTTGAGGTGATGCTAGATTGTTCTCCGATTCAGTTCCAAACATCATGGCCATACATTTGGAATCTTCGTTTTTGGACGGCTGAGATTGCCTTTGATGAAACAAAAAGGGAGAATTGCAAGTCGGGTCTCAAACCTTTTAATTTTTGCATACTATACCTAAATCTTTCATTTTTACAAATGGGTCCCTAACCTTTAATCTCAATTGCAGCTGGAGAACGTATAGACAGAATCCGTCCATTCCTTCGTCAGTCGACCCAAAAAAACTAATTTGATCACTATTTTGAATAGGGCAAAATTATAATTTTTTTTTTCCGATAAAATAATAAAAAGTAAAAAAGGTGGAGAATTGAAACTGTTCATCTTTTAACTAGTAGAGGAAACAAATATTTCATCACTTTTATTGATGATTTTTCAAAACATACTTATGATTATTTATTGAAAAATAAAAGTGATGCTTTTGATAAATTCAAAGTTTCACTCCAAGAAGTTGAAAATCATTTCGGTAGAAAAATTAAAATACTTAGAAATGATAGAGGCCGACAATATGATTTTATTACTTTTAATTCTTTTGTTCAGTCTTGAGAATAATTCATGGGACTACTCCATCATACTCACCTGCATCTAACCATGTAGCTAAAAGAAAAAATAGAACTTTGATTAATTTGAAAAATGTCATGCTTATTGAGTCGGGTGCTTCTTCAAATCTTTGGAGTGAAACAATTTTAACTGGATGTTATGTGTTGAAAAGGGTGCCCCACAACAAAACAAAAATCACACCTTTTGAGCTGTAGAAAAAATGTAAGCCGAACTTGGGAGTTTTAAGGGTTTGGGGCTATTTAGCTTTTGTCAGCCTAACATATCATAATATATCAAAATTGGGTGTTAGAACTCCCACTTGTGTTTTTTTTGGATATGCAGTAAATAGTACAGCCTACAAATTTTTAAGTATTGAAAAAATTATTATTTTTGAGTAGGGTGAAGGTGATGCTATTTTTCAGGAAGATAAATTTCCTTTCAAAACCAAAAGTAGGGGGCTAAAGATTTAAGATAAAATATTTTATCACAAACAAGTTCTTGTGCTCTTTTTTCACACGAAGAAAATTTCGAAATTGAACCTAAAAGGAGTACTATGTTTTCGAAATAGAGTTGAAAAAGATTTTGGCCCTAACTACTATGTTTTCAATACTGAGGAGACTCTACTTTCTTTACAAGAAACTTTTACTTCACATAATGTTGTATTTTAGGAAGATGCTGTAAATGATGAAATAGACTCTCCAATCTCCAAACTACACTTGGAAATTGGTAGAATTATCACTGGGTTGTATAACTATTAGTTGTAAATGGGTTCTTAGAAAAAAATATAAACTAGATGATATAGTCGATAAATTCAAAACTAGACTTGTTGCAACAGGATTTAAACAAAAAGTTGACCTTGATTTTTTCGATACTTTTTTATCAGGTAACTAGAGTCACATCCATTAGATTGTTGATTGCAGTGGTATAATCTTGGAATGCACCGAATGGATGTAAAAACTGCATTTTTGAATGGAAATCTAGATGATGAAATTTAAATGGATCAACCAAAGGTTTTGTAGAGCCTGGACGAGAAAGCAAAGTGTGTAAAACTAAATAAATCCCTATATGGTTTAAAACAAGCAACTAAGCAGTTGTATGAAAAGTTTGATTCCTGAATGTTTTTAAGCATATATTACAGATCTTTTGAAAATTCACTTGTCATTGTTAGTCTCTATGTGGATGATTTGTTGATATTTGGTCCAAATTTGGATGTTATAAATGAGACAAAAAGCATGCTTTGTAACCATTTTGATATGAAAGATTTTGGTAGGACTAATTTCATTTTGGGTATGAAAAATACAAAAACAGGTGATGGCATTTTTCTTGATCAATCGCATTATGTTGGCAGAATGTTGAAAAAATGTAATTATTATGATTGCAAGCATGTCGCTACTCCGTTTGATTCTAATGTTTGCTTATTTCCCGTGAATAATGAAAATGATGTGATTAATCAAAATGAATATGTTAGTATAATTGGAAGCTTGCATTATGCAACTGATTGTACTAAACTTGACTTTGCATATGCAGTAGGAATACTAAGCAGATTTACAAGCAAGCCAGGAAGAGATCATTGGCATGTCATAGATCGTTTAATGAAATATTTATCTGGTATCAAAAATTATGGCTTGTTTTATAAAAAAGTATTATGCTGTACTTGAAGGATTCGGTGATGCCGATTTGAATAATTTGTTAGGAGATTCTCTTTCTACCACTGGTTATATTTTTACATTGGGTGGTGGTGCTATATGTTGAAAATCTAAGGAGTAAACTGTTATATTTTTACATTGGGTGGTGTTATATGTTGAAAATCTAAGAAACAAACCATTATTGCTAACTTAAATATTGAAGTTGAGCTTATAACTTTGGCATCTGCATGTGAGTAAGCATATTGGTTAAAAGATTTATTATGTGAAATTTTGTGGGAAAAACCAGTTCCATCTGTGTAAATTCATTATGATAGCACCGAGCAGCAATTGGTAGAATACAAAATCATTATTATGATAGTAAATACAGAACTATTAAGAGAAAACATAGTACTGTAAGATCTTATCTAAGTAATGACATCATAAATGTTGATTACGTGAAATCTTGTAATAGTTTTGCAGATCCATTAACAAAGGCTTTGTCAAGAGAAAGGGTCTAGAGCAAATTGAGAGGGATGTGATTGAAGCCCATATAAATAAGAGCCAAGTCTGAGGATACCCAACCACCAGGGATTAGAGATCATGAGTACTGGGTTTAATGGGAAAAATGAATCATATGGTGGTCGCAAAAAAAGCACTACCTATTTATTTATCTTATTATTATTATCCCTATTATATGAGCGCATTTATCCTGTAATACTTTTGGAGGATGAGTTCTTTAAAAAAAAATTCTTAATGAGATCTATAGCTCTTATGAGTGAGGTGCAAATGTTATAGGAACACTTTTGATAGATTTCACCAGTGTGAGTGTGGAGATGGGGCCGCTTCCTATGAGAATTGGGCTTCTTTTCAAATATGCTCATGAAACGGGATTAGAACAAGGTCGTAATGTGCTGGCTATTAAAGCTCATATCAATACCTGGATTGTTGTGTGGACAATAATTCTTTATTTTCCTTAAGTAGTCATAGTTCAATGCTGGGCGCACTATTGTCTTTGGAGTGAAGGTTTTTGTTTTACTAAGTAAAGGTTTAATGCGGAGCACACTTTCATGATGCATGATAGTCCCTTTTTGCCTGGTAATCTTTTTATCTATTTTATATAAAATGAGTAGGGGAATATTGGTGCATTTTAATATTAAAAATTCATTCATTATATTTTCTTTTAGGTTTGTAGGGTTTGTGAGTTAGAAAAGTGAAGAGGTTGGAGGTTTAGAAAATGAAAGGTGAAAGGATTCATGTGTTTATGACACTTCTTTATTTTGGTCATTCATCACAACCACGACAATCACGGTTCCTTTAGCTTTTCTCATTACATTCTTACTCGTTTTCCTTTAGAGATTATTGAGCAAAGAACGGTGATTCTTTTAGTGGAGCTTTGAGCTCAACTACTTGTGCAAAGTTTGTTTGAGTCATACGATGAATAGTCAGACTATTGTATCTTTGAGGGAATAAGTCATAGAAAAGTTCTGCTTCACTGTGTTTCAGGCTTTGCCAACCGCAGAGGACTTAAATCTCCCTAAAGAGAGCGAGATATCCTAACCTCAGTCCATTCGATTTCGTTATCTTCCTATTCATTTTGTAACTCCATTTTTTCATTATTGAATTTGCACCAACAAAACCTCTAGCAGGAATTACATAGGATATCAAAATATTTAAGTATTCAGTAGAACAGTAAATTTTGCTAAAAAATAGAGCTCCAATTTCTCACACGGCATGTGAATAAATTGCTTCTCATTGAAGGCATAAAAAATCCATGAAAAACCTTGCTTGATATGGTGAACTATTGGAGGAAAGAATATAAAAAAGAATAATGTTATTTATCATTATAATGATAAAATATTGGTAATGTGATAGTTTATGTGGAATGATTGGATTGAAAGGTTCAATTTTTATGAGAGATGGTGGGAACAGAGAGAGAGAAAGAGAGAGAGAGAGAGAAAAAAAAAATATATGAGGGACAATGGATTGCTACATTATCGATATTTCATTATCATGGTGATAATGTAACAGTAAATACAAGCCATTTCTTTGTCAAGGAGACGTGTTTTAATAAGAAGAGGGAGGCTACGATAAAGGCGATGACAGTTGTGGAGAAGAGGGAGAAGATGAAAGAGGGTAATGAAATTGGTGAAATTAACGAATTAATCATTTAGCTTTTCTCGTTGACATTTGGTTGGGTATTGGGGTGGATGGGTTGGGATAGCAAGTTGTGGGGAAGATTAACCGTTTCTATTCTCCCTTTTATCTTATTTATTTATTTATTTATTATTTTATTAAAAAATATAAAATTATATTTTTTTTTCCTTTTTAAATTAATCAAAATGTGGTCAAATTCATTTTTTTTATTTTTTATTTTTTGGGTTGACTAACAGAGAAATGAACTGATTAGGTCCATATGTCCTCTACCTGCAATTGAGGTTAAAGGTTTGAGACCCCATTTGCAAAAATGAACGATTTAGGTATAACCAACAAAAATTCGAAAGATATGAAACCTCAACTGCAATTCTTCCAAACAAAAATCCAGTGGATGGTTGGTGGGCATGAAAGGTGACTTCATGTATTTTCCCAATTTGGATTCAATTTAACTGCATGTTTGAGCCCCATTTTTTTTTAATTTAAAATATATTTTTGAATAGTAAATTTATGAAAAATGTGTAGTTAAAATGAAAAAAAAGTTTTTGAATTGTGTGCATTATTATTTTATTGAAAAATGAGGATCAAACAATGACTAAACCCCTGTTTGACTCCCATTATATTAAAATTCATTTTTTCTCTTATTATCAATTACACATTTTTCAATAAAATAATATTACACGTAAACATAAAACATTTTCCTTTTTCTTAACCACACATTTTTAAAAAAAATACTATTTCTTTCATTATAAATTAAAATAATGGAGCCGAGCTAAGAAAGTATAAACAGGGAAAATTGCAAATTTAGTCTTCAATCTTAGGCCAGAGTAGCTATCCTATCCCCAACTAATTTTTTATCAAATTTTTATTCCCAAACATTTTGAAAAATTAGCAAACTGAATCCCTTTTTAATTATGCTTATGTTTGAAAAAGTGTTTGTAAATAAAATAGAACAGAATGCCCCAAAAACATTATGCAATTTGTGGATTTTCAACAGTTCAATGCATGCTCAATGGCCTAGTTTAAAAAATTAGGCTGCTTGAGCTCCTGTGAATGTCTTATAATACAGAATTTTTTGAAGAAAACTTAATATCGCAAGTAAATTACTCTGTTCGCCAAAATTAACAAATAAAAGGTTCAAAGTTTAGGCAATATCATAAGAAAATCAGAATCATTGACTTCATGTATTTTCCCAATTTGTATTCAATTTAACTGCGTGTTTGAGCTCCATTTTTTTTTTTTTTTTATGTAAAATATATTTTTGAATAGTAGATTGATGAAAAATGTGTAGTTAAAATTAAAAAAAAAAAGTTTTTGAATTGAGTGTATTATTATTTTATTGAAGAATGAGGATCAAACAATGGCTAAACCCCTGTTTGACCCCCATTAAATTAAAATTCATTTTTTTCTCTTATTATCAATTACACATTTTTTAATAAAATAATATTACACGTAAACATAAAACATTTTCCTTCTTCTTAACCACACATTTAAAAAAAAAAATACTATTTCTTTCATTATAAATTAAAATAATGGAGCCGAGCTAAGAAAGTATAAACAGGGAAAATAGCAAATTTAGTCTTCAATCTTAGGCCAGAGTAGCTATCCTATCCCCAACTAATTTTTTGTCAAATTTTTATTCCCAACATTTTGAAAAATTAGCAAAGTGAATCCCTTTTTAATTATGCTTATGTTTGAAAAAGTGTTTGTAAATAAAATAGAACAGAATGCCCTAAAAACATTATGCAATTTGTGGATTTTCAACAGTTCAATGCATGCTCAATGGCCTAGTTTAAAAAATTAGGCTGCTTGAGCTCCTGTGAATGTCTTATAATGCAGAATTTTTTGAAGACAACTTAATATAGCAAGTAAATTACTCTCTGTTCGCCAAAATTAACAAATAAAAGGTTCAAAGTTTAGGCAATATCATAAGAAAATCAGAATCAACAAAGTATTCTGCTTCATATCATACACATTGTAAATAAAATCTTCCAATTCATTTGCTCATACACTTAGCTTCTCCATCTCCCTCCTAAGTGCATTTGCCCTCACCAAACTCCCAATTGTATTCACAGCCAATTTCAAGTCATCTAGAGGATTCCCAGGCACCACTTTCTTGTACAAATAGCTATCAAATGTCATTTTCTGCACATATTCATCAGCACACATTTCTACAAATGCCTCCCTTGCTGGGTTGGATCTGTAAAACACCTTCTGAAGAACATCCAATACTTTGTATGTAGGCCAATATGTTTTGTCCCATTTCTCCAAATACTTCCTCAAATCACTCTCATCTACCATTCTTTTCCCATTTTCTGACCCTTCAACTATTGCCTCTGCACACATTCTTCCACTCTTGGCAGCAAAATATATCCCCTCGCCGGAGCATTTTGTGACGTACCCGGCTGCATCTCCGACTAGCGCTACTCGGTCGAGCACACGCCTTGGCCGGGGATGCTCTGGTATAGGATGTGCCTCCACTCTTATGATTTTTCCACCTTCAATTTTGTCCCTGGCTCTCAATCTTGTGGCAATTTGGAGTTTCTTGATGTCGCCTTTGTGGGTTACTGTGCCTGTGCCGACAGCTACATGGTCACATTTTGGGAAAACCCAGCCGTAGAAATCAGGTGAAACGTCGTCACCTACGTACATTTCAGCTAGATTTTCGTAATACTTCATTTTGTCATCTGAGATTTTGATGCGTTCTTGAAATGCAATAGCATATTCATATTCACCGGCGTTTATGTTCTTTGCCACTCGGGAATTAGCACCATCGGCGCCGATGACGGCGTCAACCTGCATTGTCTTTTTCTCACCGGCGCCACCGGTTTTGGCATTGTAATCCGTGTAATGTAACATATAGGGTGAACCTGTGGATTTGGGCAGGTCCATTTTCAAGAACAGACCGTTAATCACGGTGGCTCCGACAGTGGCGGCGCGGTCGCGGAGGTAGGCGTCGAGGACTTCACGGCGGACCATCCCAATATACTCATGGGGTTTAAGGGTCTGGCCAATGTCAACAGCCACATTAGATGGTGAAATCATCTTCATTTTTGTGACTCTCCGGTCGATGATATCCAGTGGCAAGTCAAATTCCCCCACCATACAAAGTGGGATAGCACCACCACATGGCTTGCAGTTGTCAAGCTTACGTTCGATGAGGAACGTCTCTATGCCACCTTTAGCGAGTGTCTCCGCTGCAGCACCACCAGCCGGGCCACCTCCCACCACCGCAACTCTAAGGTTCCGTCCAGTGACTCTTGGGCTGGATTTTGAGGCATTTATACGGAATTTACGGTGTGTTTGGGTAGTGGGTTTTGATAGAACTATGTGTTTGTTTTCCGACGTGGTTCGACGGAGTCCGATGAAGGATTCGAGGGCAATTGAGGCCATTTCCGATATTCTTGAGGTTCGAAGATGTTTTTTAAGAGTGGATGTGATTTTGTTGGATATGGTTTTAGGATTTTGGGAAGCGTAAACCGTTGGATGGGTGGGAATAGAGGGCTGAGATTCATTGAGGATAATGGGGATAGATGTCGTGTACTGATTTTGCATGCCTTTAGGTGGCTTGCATTCAGCCACATACGGTAACTTTGGCAGTAGAAATTTCATTAGATGTCACTCAACTTACAGGTTTGATTTATGTTAGTCATTCAATTTCTATTTTGTTACAAACCAAACACAACATAATTTGTGACCTTTTTTTTTTTTGGAAATATAACAATGGTGCCTCCAGGATCGGCCATGGAAGCCTTGAAATTTTTGGGACCATAAGCCATTTAATATGAAGCTTTTATTTTAGAGGTCCTCACATGTTCCGATGTTTGGGACTATAAGTAAAGTCATTCTGAAGTGCCTCTATCATAGTGATTATCGATCTCTATACTAGACCATTTAATCAAAAATGTCACAAATTCAATCGGCCAATTCACAAAGTTCCGCTATTAGGCCACAAATTTTTTTGTCTATTTCAATAATGTTTATGAACCTATGGTTGATAAATAAATTGAGAGATTAAATAGAAACAAACTTAAGTTCAGTGTCAAACACAAAACAATTCTATGAGCTAGGCCACTTGTAGTAAAAATATTTCAATTTGGGTATGAGGGAGGCTCGTTAGTCACTGGTTCTGAAATTATTAAAGGAACATATGGCACGAAATTAGTGAGACGTCCCAAGTTTCATTAGCAACTCAACTGGTTAGTCGTAAATTGAGTCTTTGACCAAACATTGTGCATTGACAATGTGTCGGATTGAGATTATCGGTTTGGCTACCTAAGACAATTGCCGACACTACAGTAACTGACTGTCGATAAGTGTGGCGATAATCGGTAGAGAAAATTCATATTTGATTCATAAACTTTGATCTAGAAATATTTAACATACATTACTTTTCATTAACTGTACATAAAAATGTGAAAAAATATATATCATTTTTTGTAAGTGGTAATTGGGAGGGAGAGAGAGCTGCATAAGAAAAACAATAAATTTACATATCATGTTCATAAACTTTGATATATATATTAATCAACTTTTGAGAAATACCAATCAAATGATTTTTGTCGTCTTAATCCATCCAGAAATTTGGTTTGTATTTCATATGAGAGAAATTAAAGTTAAGGTCAATGAAATTATTTAAGAAGAACGGAATATATATGGAAATGGAGGTTTAAGATTGAAAAGATGATTTTAAAGGTTAAGGAACAAATTTGTAAAAGTTACTAAACAGGTAAGTGTATCAAAATGGGTTGTCCCAAGCCATGAGCTTCATGGTCGAGACAATACAAGTCACAATCTTGGTCCACACCAACGTGTAACGAGATGGGGTGTGGTGTTGTGAGCCTTGCTTAATTTGACAATCGTGTTGAGCTTGAAAATAGAGCATGTAGGCCTTTGTGGAATATTGTATGAAATACTGTGCGCTAAGTAAGGATCGAGGTAGAAAGATTTATAGTATCAAGGCCTACTGCGCAAGCATGTGTAGACACAATTAAAGGTTGGAAGTGAGGAACTCGACTGACGGTAGAGTATAAGATGGTGCATGTAAGTAGCTTGCACATTTGCTAAAAAACAAAGTGTCTTTCAGAATACTCTAGAACCATGTGAAACATTATAGAGAGGGCAAAATATAGAATGGTCCATGTGAGGGACTTGAAGCCACGACTAGAATGTTGTTGAGAAGTATGTAAAATTATAATGTGATGCAACATTCGAGAACGATTTATTATACGATAAGATAGTTTAGAGAGTCAATTGCAATCATTGGATATAATAGATTTTCATTGTCCATTCTAAGGAGACGAAAAGATAAAAGGACAAGAGGCCTCACTCGTAAATCAATCAAGTTCGTGACCAATTTAGGACAACTTGAGAGGATCTAATAATAATTGAGTGATTATTATGTATTTAAAGAATTTTTAGTGCTCTAAGCTTTCTCTATGTTTCAATATTTTTATTTATCAAATTCTTCCTTTAATTTTAGACTGAGTCATCTTGAGCACGCAAGTTCCACAATTCAAGCAAGAATAAATGAGGTGCTCATATTACGGAAATGAGATTTAGCTATATCACAAACCTTGCTTATATCCTATTGATAGCATATGGTCATATGTCAATCTTTCTCGAAATGACTCATCTATGTAATATCATTTTCATGATTACTCAATTCATTCATATGCTATTTGAATAAAGTTTTCATTTCTAGAAAATAATTATGAAATTTTATTTAATGAAAATATATTTTATGTACATCACAAGGGTGTTTTTGGGGGTAAATAGTGGTAAAGTTCACAGTCTTTAGTTTCATTGGCAACATAAATCCAGCTCAAAATTCATCGACCAGCGTATAAAAAATCTATTAGTGGTAAAGTTCAGTCTTTTTTACTTTATCTCTCTATTAGTCGACAATTACTGGTTTATTTGCATACACGAATTATTCTAGCAACAGATCAAGCACCCCCATTCAATTTTCAAATGGTTCAATTGTCAAGGAAAATGTCTATGACAATTACAAGTAGCATTGATCGATTTTTCACCATTCAAAAGAAATCGAGACAACAAGAAAAATATCCTTGCGTTACATTTATAGTCTTGTGACTGATTTTTATGATAGAGTTGCACAATGAAAGTATTGTAACTAGTTTAATTGCCTTTAAAAGAGAATAATATAGTTTATATATTTTAGTTAGATTCTACCGAGTGTTTTAAACGACTTTCTTCGATCAGGTGCATCTCTATGGTACAAACATACATAATGTTCAGTAAATATGATGGTGCATGGCATCAACATCCAATCATGAATAGGGCTCGAATCCCCATTATGTGTGTAATGTAAGAGCTCAAATATCAATATGGCCAATAATAATGCACAAATCATCTATATTTGTGGGTCCATCATTGAGCCAAGTTCGAAAATCATTAAACTCCAAGACAAAGAAGTCTTGGATTTAGGATTTGTCTATTTATGAAGCCCATCATGCTAGACCCTAACCAATCTACCGACATTGCTCATGTACACAATGTCGAACCTTAATACATAATCATGAGTTACGCTCAATGATCATTGGGAGCCTCAAGTAGATATGTCTATCAGGACATCAACAACATGTTAAAATTATAAGGGGATTCCACCCACCATTCACATGTACATGATGAATGACAGGATTAAAAAATGCATGTCATGTGAGCACACTTCATATTCGAAATCATCATTACGATGTACATATAAGTCACATAATATTATCACATTTCATATCCGTATGCTCATTTTTTGAGTCTTAATCGAATCAATTTGTTCTTTTGAGGTTAATAAGCTTTGATATTATTTCAAGACTTGGAGTTCCATCTTAAAATGTCAATCTTATTAAGAGGTGTAATCAAATCCTTTATAAATTGATCTATATTTTCGTTTTTATTTGATGTAAAATTTTATCCTTTAATAATTTTTATTTGATGTCAATCCATTTCTATTTATAATATTACTAAATCATACGATGATACACCTCTATAAGTGTAGCATGATTCAAGTAAAAGCAGCGAATTTTATCTTTGACTCAGGTCAATTATTTGTTCATAACAACATGTGGCCAACATTTGCACAAGAAACTATCCGTTGAAAATAATGAAGCGTAAGTTTTAAAATATTTTATACTCAATATTAAGATTAAGTAAATTAATTATTTTATACAGTAAGATAGAATTAACTTGAGTGAATTGTTTCAAAAATCACTCAACTTATACCATCGTTACAGATTGCTCACCAAACTTCATTATGTTTTACATTACTCACTCAACTTTTTCATTTACCTCTTCATCCACCACAGTCAAAAAATCTGTTTGTTAGGCCCTGACGTGACGGACGAAATTTATAGGCGGCGTCTGACAGCCATTAAAAAATTACAAATCAGTAAAATCATTGTTTCATCACTCACCAACTTACACTATGTCACAGTTTACTCACCGAACTTCAAAATACTTTACAATGGTCACTCAACTTTTTTAAGAATTGCACTTCATCCATTATTCGTCATATTTTATTCACTTCGTTGCTAATTTATTTTTCACGGGTCATTAAAATCATCAAAAAAATTATAACTCAACCAAACCATCAACACATGGAAATCACCATATGATCAATTTGATACAATTAGAAGTAAATGAGTGAAATATAAACAAAATATTTTCACAAATTAAGTTAAGTTTTCGATTGTAAGCTTTAGATTGAAACATATTTTTCACAAATAAACGTTCGAATTATAAAAGTGATATTTTTAAAGAATAATTGAGGACGCTTTATTAGGTTTTAAAAAAGTTTATGAGACCGTGAAAGTCATGTTTCACACATAGTGATTTTAGAAAATTGAAAGTTTCATTGAGTTGTGATTTTTCTAACCTTTGTAACTTATTATGTGAATTTTCTATGCGAACATTAGCAACGAAATGAACGAAATATGACGGATAATTGATGGAGTGCAATATCTCAAAGATGAGTGACCATTGGGAAGCTTTTTGAAGTACGATGAGTAAACTGTGACATAATATAAGTTGAATGAGTGATTAAACAATGATTTTGCTGATTTGTAATTTTTTAACGACCGTCAGACGTCACCTAGGAATTCCGTTCGTCACGTCAACATCCAACAAATAGATTTTTTGACAGTGGTGGATGGAGAGGTAAATGGTAAAGTTGAGTGAGTACCGTGAAGTAGAATGAAGTTCGGTGAGCAGTCTGTGGCCATGATATAATTTCAGTGATTTTTTAAACAATTCACTCGATTTTTTTTAAAAAAGCAATTTATTTAGGATGAAATATACATTTTAATTAAATAATGTGGTCCTTCAAATAGCTTAAACTTCTTAATCAAAACATACAGTGGTATTATGGTACCTGTGGTAGGAAAAATACCTCGATTCAAATTTTATTGTCAAATATTTATTAAAAACAGTACAGAAATACACGCTCATTCGACAAAAAATGCACTCTCAATCTTACATGATGTTAGAATTTGGGGGCCTCCAATCAACACTATTCCGAGCTCAAAAAAACACAATCGACACCACACGGTTTCAAGTTCTTCCCAAATACTTTCATCTACTTGGTTGCTCCAAGAGTCTTCTTACTAACCCACAAAGGATTAATAATGATGGATGCAAATAACCACAAAGGAAAGAAGAAGAAAAAGGAAACAATGGTTCCACAAAGTCATCAAGAATCACCTGCCCTCTTCTCTTCTCACACTTGCACCACACAACTAGAATTAGGGGAGTTGGGTATATGTATAATGGATTAGGTCACAAGAATTGGGCCAAAGACATGGGCCAACTTAATACCAATACATGGGCCTAACAATAAACCAAAACCCCATACTAATCAAGGGAAAATTACACTAAACCAGGTGTTTAGTTTGATGTTTTTGAAAATCAGGTTTATAGTTTATTTAATAAAAAATCAGGTTTTAATTTCACGATTAATATTAATAATAATATTTTAAATTAAATTAAATATACCCACCCCCAATTCCCAAGCCCTATTTCTCTCCTCCCCTCCCCACTGTCCAATTCTCTCTCTCTCTCTCTCTCTCTCTCTCTCTCTCTCCTCCCCT